ATCTGGGAAAACTCGAAAACGTGCTGCATTGCGACCACCTTCATGCGCAGTCACCAGCCCTTGCAACCTGTCTTGCAACCATTTCCATCCGTCTGCGATAGCCTGCAGCTCCGTCTCCGTGGCGCTCTCGTGCTCCTCCTCAGCCCGCCGCGGCTGGAGGGCGCGCGCGCACGAGTGAGCGCGTGCTTCTGTGCGAATGAGGTGACCGATCCGTTCCGCAACACAGACCGCCCGACGGCCCCAGGCTTTGGGGAGAAATCGCCATGCCACCGTAGCCTGCTCCTTCTTGGCCACTCTCAAGGCCTCTGTCGCTAAGCTCCGCTCGATCGACCAGCTGTCCTCTTCAAAGAACGGGCCGTTGATGACTTGGGAGGTGAGGCGCGGTCCTCCCACGTAGGTCAGATACCTGACCTTGGAGCCTTCCGCGAGCCGCAGTTGGACAGGCCTATGAGGTTTGGTAACCCAGCTGAGATCCGCACTGCATGACGCCAACATTCGCATCGCCCCCGTCGAGAGCCCGAAATAGTCCAGCGTGCACAAGGAGGAAGCCGTCCTGCAGGTGGTGTGCCTTGGTATCGCTAGTTCTAGCTGCGCCTGCACAGGGAAGGTGGAGTCGCGAACCACCTGGGCCTCCATCTTCCAGTCGCCTCCCACGATGCACGGGTGAATCTGGCCAGCCATCGCCAGCCCGATCGTCATGGGGATCTTCGCCTTGCGGGCGCCCCTCCTTCTGCCGTATGGGGGTAGAGGTTGTAGACATTGATGGGCGGCCATTTGGGCAACTCCACCACTGCGTGTTGCGCCCTGCCCGCAACCAGCTCCGATCCGTGGGCCACAGTGGAGTTGATGGCGCCAGTGCGCCTCGGGGGGGCACCAGCTGGGTAAGCCGGTCCCCGAAGCCCGACTCCTTCCCGGGCGAGAGCTGCAGGCCCTGCTGGGGCTAACTGTCCTCTTGCCGCTTGCCCTGGGACCACGAGACGCTGCCATCGATTAGCTGCCGCCCGACTGCTGAGGGCCTCGCTGTCGTCAGCGCCACAACCGATCTCCTGCGCCAGAACGACCGTGGCCGTCGTAGTGCGGAGCCTGCGCTGCAGAGTCCGTTTGCCCCGGTTCGCATTGAGTGTCTCGAAGGGGTGCGTTGTCGTGAGCATGGTGGGGACCTCCTCCTGCACAGGGGACCTGGGCTAATTGCAGATCCCGCTGACGTACGGCTTCGCGTCACCCACCCGATCCCCCAGTACGAACCGATCCTCCATCAGTGCGTCGGTGCTTGGTGTCCTGGGCGCTCTCAACGGCGGTCTGGAGTTGCCCCTTGGTCCATTCCGAGGCTGGCTGCGCTTGCTGGCTGAGGATGGTCCATGGGGCCTCGACATCCTCCTTGGCGAACTCCACCAGCTGCACCGCCTTGGCGCCACGCTTGTCAGCGCGGCTGGGGTGTGTGTCCTGCTCCATGTCGTCTCCGCCGCTGTTGTGTGGACCATCAGGTGGGGTCGCAGTTCCTTCTTCGGCATCATCATCGTCATCATCACGATCAGGCACAGGAGCTGACGCAACCACCGATGCCAGATGCCCATCGACCTGCTTGCATAAGGCCTGCTGGATCCTTGCGAAATGGGGGCTGGCCTTGAAAGCCGCCAGCGCCTCCTGAGCTTCAGGTGCTTGCGCCAGCAGCTCATCACCGTCGATGTCGAAAGCGATGAGATCCTTCGCTTTGAGGCTGGACAGCTTCGCCTTCGCTGTCGGTAGCTCCCCGCGAGCCTCCAGCAACGCGCGCTTCTGCCGAACCGCCTCGACCTGGAAGACCTCCACTTCAGCCCTCTTGGCCGTGATCGCCTCCTGCTTCTCAGTGATCTTCTGGCTGATGCTGGCGAGCTGCTCCTGCAGACCCTTGAGGTCAGCTTCGTATCTGTCGAGCTGCTGCCTGCACTTTGCCAGCTTCTGTGTCGTCGCCTTGTGCGCGGCCTCTGGGGCCGCAGGGCACGAGCTTGCCTTCGAAGCTCCTCCGCGGCCTTATGGTGGAGAAGGTGGAGCGGTCCGCCGTCCTCTTCCACCTTGCTGCACTCCTTGAGGGCCTTCTCGTGGTAGTTGGTCTTCTCCTGCAGCACCGTCTTTTGGTGGAGCGTGTTCTCGTCGCCATCATCGTGCTCCTTCCTGCCGCCGCCGCTGCCACCTGCCGCTGGGCCAGTAGGAGCCGTCGTCGAAGGGCGCAGCGAGAGGCTGGCCACCTGCTCGCAAGTGTCCGCAGCTGCTCCTCCAGCCCGCCGTTGTAGTCCTTGGACCACGGGGCCCGCTTCCGCAGCAGCCTTCCTGAGGTGGCAGCACCCGCTCGTGCAGGAGGACGGGTTCCCCCTTCGGCACGAAGGTCCTGATCCGCCTGCCTGGCAGCAGCGGCCACGCGCCGCGGAGCCGACCTCCCGCGCGAGCACGTGCTCCTCGACGCCCAGTTGCTGGCCGTGCCGCGCGGGCAGCCCCAGGACGGCAGCTTGGGGCCCCGCAGCACGCGCAGCTCTGGCGGCCCAGGCGCCATCCTGCCCGGCGACGAGCCGTGGTGCTCCTGCAGCCGCCGCGCCGCGCGACACAGGCGCTCCTGCAGCGCGGGCGTCGATCTGCCTGACCAGGCGCGGAGGAGGGCGCGGTCCTCCGCGCGGCACGAGCGCGCCCTGTGGTGCGCCGCCGCCTCCCGCGGCAGCGCCGTTGGCGCTGGTCCCAGCGCGCGATGGGGGGGGGGGGCGCCCTCTCGCGAGCCGAAGCTAGGAGGAGGAGGGGGAGGAGGAGGAGGAGGAGGAGGAGGAGGAGGAGGAGGAGGAGGAGGAGGAGGAGGAGGAGGGAGGGAGGAGGATGAGGAGGAGGAGGAGGAGGAGGAGGAGGGCAGGAGGGGGAGAGGAGGAGGAGGAGGAGGAGGAGGAGGAGGGGGAGGAGGAGGAGGAGGAGGAGGAGGAGGAGGAGGAGGAGGAGGAAAAGGAGGAGGAAGACGGAGAAGACGAAGAAGAAGAAGAAGAAGACGAAGGCGAATCATAAGACACATCAGACGAATAATAATACTTTTACTATGAAGAACAATAGAGAATAATAATAATAATAATAAAACGGCGAAGAATAATATTAATATACCACGAAGACGAATCATACAAATAATGATAACACGAATAATAATGATACTAATAATAATAATACGACTAAGGCTAACACGACTAATACGACTAGCAATACGAACATTAATACGAACAATAAGAATCATAACACTAATAAGACGAATGCTACCACGACTGATAATACGAATAAGAAAAATACGAAGAATATTACTACTATTATTATTATTATTAATAATAATATTAATAAGACGACTAATACTAATACTAAGACGAATACTCGTACTAAGAAGAAGACGAAGAGTACTAATACTAATACTACTAATACTATCATAAGAATACGCATAATAATGCCACCACACATAAGACTACTAATAATATTCATAATAATAAGAAAACTTAACATAATGATAGCAATACGAGTACTACAACTAATACTAACAATAATAACAAGAAGACTACTACTACTACTACTGCTGCTGCTGCTGCTGCTACTACTACTACTACTTCTACTACTACTACTACTACTACTACTACTACTACTAATAATAATAATAATACTAATAATAATACTAATAATAATAATATGAAGAGGAGGAGGAGGAGGAGGAGGAGGAGGAGGAGGAGGAGGAGGAGGAGGAGGAGGAGGAGGAGGAGGAGGATAAGGGTAAGGATAAGGATAAGGAAAAGGATGAGGATGCGTAAGGCCGCCAGGGACCTGAGTGTCAGTCTACTTTAATTGCTGGACCCCTAGGTGTGGATATGGATGCAGGCCCAAAACCTCGTGGCCTTGGAGCTGCCTGGGGCGAGCTTCCCCCCCCAGTTTGTCTGGGGGGAAACAGGCGGCCCCGCCTGGCGGGAGACCCCGCTTCGGTGAGTAGCTCGATTGTCGGCGGTCGGAGGCGGTTACCACTCTGTGGTGGTGCATCTCCCCCGCTGAGGACCTCGCAGCTCCCGGCCCGCCCTCTCCTCCCACCTCCCCGGCGTGGAGAGAAAGAGAGAGCACAGCAAGCTAAAACACGAATGAGACTCTTCCCCTCCACCCTGAAGGCGCACCGCACTGGCTGGGCCTGCTGACGATGAGACGTCGGCGGTTCAGGTCGTGTGCGGCTTGAGCGCGTGGCCGAAGACGCCTTCCTTCGGGATGGCGCTGAGGCTCGCGACGATACCACTCGCTCCAGCGCCAGATTCGACGTGGTGTTTGGTACTTTCGGTGGGTCGGACGGGTGGAGGGGACTTGTTTTGTGGTTTTGATGCTTGGGTCGACGGCGACCATGTGCTCGCGGCGGGGGCGACTCTCTGGCAAACCTTAGCAGTGTTTGAGCTTTAGCGAGCGCTGCAGAATAATATTGCCGACGACGTCTCGCTATAGGACAGGGGCCGAGGAGGTTCTGGACGATTTGTGAGGCGTCTCTGGGAGTCCTGGGGGCTCCAGGGATAGGGCGACCTCTTAGTGGTGACCCCCCTTGGCACTGCCTGGGGAGCGGGGACTTCACCTATGAGCGCTGCTGCTGGGGCGACGGCGAAGGCTGCTGGGCCGCCGCGGGCGGCGAGTCCTGGCCCTCCGCCGAGCTGTGCTGCTCCTCCCTGTTCGAGGCGCTGCACTCCTCCAGCCTGGGGCCCACGGAGCCCCTGGTGGTGGCGGCGCCAGGCGCGGACCCGAGGCTGGCCAGCTGCATCGGCGGCGCTGGCAGGGATGCCTCCTGGGAGCGGGCCCTGGGCGCGAGCCACGCCGCAGTAGGCGCCCTCGGCGCCCTGGGGGCCAACAACTGGGTCCGCGCTGCCGAGTGTGTGGCCTCGCTGCCCGAGGTCAGTCGGTGATTCCAAGAGGGGGTCCTGCAGGACGGGGTCCTGAGGACGACGTGCCTCGAACAGTGTAAATCCGCCCCTGGACCCCTGCCTATCCTTGAGCCCCCATCTTTCAGGACCCCGTCTTGGAACCACCGAGCCAGCGTGGTCCTGGACCTCTTCCTCGGGGGCGGCGGGACGGCGTCCGCCATGGCCTGGGGCCTCGGCCGCGAGCGCCCCCGCGGCGGCCGCTCCAGACCCGCGGAGCTCTTCTCCTTCGAGCGGGAGCCGGCCCAGGTGCGCAGGGCGCTGGGCGCGCGCGGCGGCCTCGGCGCCGGCTGGAGGAGCCGCGGCCGGCCTTGGGTGCAGCGTGCCGCGCGGGCGCCTGCCGACGAGGCGCCCCGTCGGCCCTCGGCCCGAGCGCGGGTGCGGTGCGCAGCCTCGCCGGCTCTCGGAGAGAGCCGACGAGGCTGCGCTGCGCACCGAGCCGCGCGGGGGCCGCGGGGCCCGGCGGGAGGCCAATGCGCGGCCCGGTGCGCCGGCGCCGCCCGCGGTGTCGAGGAGGCGCCTGTGGGCGGTGCGGCGGCGGAACGCGAGCAGCCCCGAGGACCACCTGCGGCTCGGGGCCGAGCTGCGGCGCGCCCCGGTCGGTGGCGCGCTGCCTGCCGTGTGGGTGCTCGAGGGGCGGCCGTACCCCGCCCGGGAGGGCGGCGCGGCGCGCCCGGGCTACGCGCGGAACCCGCTGGACCTGCTGTGCGCCCACCGCGCGCCCGTGGACGCCGTGCTCCTGGACCCCTCGGGCGCCACCCAGTCCCTGGAGGTCGAGTGGATGATCATCGAGCTCGCCTGCAGGCCCCGCTGGGTGCTCGTGGTCAACCTGAACCTTGGGGGCGGCTCGGGCGCCAGCTTCGTCAAGGGGCGGCTGGACATGCTCGCCGCGAGCGTGGGCGGCTGGCGCCTCGAGGTCCACGGGCACTTCCTGCTCCACCACCAGTGATGGGCCAATCGACCATCACCACTACCACAGGTAGGGCGGTGGAGAAGGGAGGATGGGGAGGTCTCCTCCTCCTCCTCCTCCTCCTCCTCCTCCTCCTCCTCCTCTTCCTCCCTCTCCTGCCTATGGTAGTGGTGGTGGAAGATCGGTCCGTCAATCAGCCGTGGCTGAACACCGCGGAGCCCAGGCGCACGAGGGCCTGGGCCGTCTACTCGAGGCAGGGTGCGTGAGCGTCCTGGGCTCGAAGAAGGGAAAGCGGCAAAAACATACAGTGGAGACCCATGCCAAGAATCACCCTGCTTGCCTCCAGGATGCCCTGGGTTTTGTGGGTCTCGATCGTTTTCCATGGAAAGCGTGACGTTCCCACACCAAAAATCCATGGACGTCCTGGCGTCTCAGGGTTGGGTTTCTTGTGGAAGGTTTCTTGTGGATTGGCCTCCACTGTACACATTCGGAGCACCAGGCGGCTTCCTTGGATCGGCGCTACCCCCCCTAGCGGCGCCTCCGGCGCCGATTCAAGAGATCCGTGCGGACCTTCGAAAGCTTATAGTTCATGAGTTGCTTCTTCTTTTTCTTTTTCTTATTCTGTGTGCGGGTGCTGAACGTCAAGTCATAGTAGGCATGTTCTTGGCGGAGCGCCCAGTAGCGACAGGTTGGACCTCTCTGTCTCTTTCCGGAGGAGGTAGTGGGACCCTTGTCCGTGTCCGTGTTACCAAACGCTGCCGCTGTTGCTGCTGCTGTTGCTGTTCCTGCCCATCTTCATCCTTGCATATTTTTGCTTTTTGGTTGAGGGTCTGGATTTCCCCGCGAAGTCTTATCTGATCGAGGCCCTCGCTGAGAGGCGGGGCCTACCAGCATTGCTTGTGAGCTTCGCCAGTTGCGAGAGCGATGTTTTATCGAGCTGCTTCATGCCAGAGGTTCTCAAAGAGGTCGGGGCATGCGGAAGTGCGAAGCTATGGTATCTTTCCTGGCCTGTTTCGGATGGAATATGCAACATGTAAGTAACGTGCTTCACTAGACACTTGCTACATGTAATTGCTTCCATGCAGAGCTACCCACTGCCAGCCATGGGACGGGGAGAAAACAATCTCAGGAGGGCTCTCGCTGGAGAGGCGGGGAATTGTACTAGCGGGCAGACGGATTTTAAAAGGATCAGTATCGAAGACGCCTCCAGCGAACCACGGCCGCATCCTGTCTTCTGGAAGCGCCTGTGTGGTGGGATGTCGAGCGTGAGTGCGGCAACGCTAGTGGGCTGCTTGTCCCCCAGCCGTTGGGTAAATCACTGGAGGATCTCTCGGGGTGGGGCTGTCTTGGGGCTGCCTTGGAGCTCGTTCCAGACATTCGAGGCCTTCTTGGAGTCCTCCTGGAACTCTCTTGGACCCTTCCTCACAGGCCCTCCCTTGGGCAGTCGAGGGGAGCTTTTGGGCCGTCTGGCGCCGTCGGAGGCCGTCTTGAGGGCCTCTCTTGGGACGTCTAGGGAACTCTTGGGGCCCTTTGGGGCGGTTTTGGCGCCGTCTTGTGGTCCTCTTGGGGCTCTTCGGGGCCGTCTTGGCTCAGTCTCGGGGGCTTCTTGGGCCGTCTTGCGGCTATCCGGGAGGCCTCTAGGTTTGTCCTAGGGTGTCCGAAGCCCAAGAAGGCGAGAACGCTACAACCACTGAAGCACCTAAAAGAAGTTAATCATATGTTTGCCTTTTGAGGTCCTCCTGGGGGTCTTCTTGGAGCTCTCTTGGGCCGTCTTGTAGGCCTGTTGGGCCGTTTTGCAGGCCTCGTGGGCAGCCTTGAGGCAATCTTGGGCCGTCTTCGGAGGCATATGGAACCGTCTTGGAGGCCATCAGGGACCGTCTTGGGCCGTCTTGGAAGCCATCTTGGGCCACTGTGGCCACTTTGGATGCGAGTTTTCTGGGCATGAGGCGTCGGGGGAGGGAGAAAAGGGCAAGAGAGGATGGGGGAGGGACAACAGGGGCTTCGGTGATGAGCGCGGATGCACGGATAGTCTCATAGGCAAACACGCGGCTGCAAGGTAAGCCGTTGCGCCAGCGCGCAAACCGACGCAGATCCTCCCCCCCTCGCTTCCTCATCACCCGACGAGTGGTCTATGACGTACGTAGATATTATCCTGCAACCGCCCTTCTGCTTTCTCACTCTTTCTTCTCAGTCCTCCCTCCAACGTGCTGCCGCCATGCGCCCTCTCCATACCTGTCTCCTTCCTGCCTTTTCTCCCTCCCACTTCGTTGTTGTTATTCGCCATCCTCGTCCCTGGCCTCGGAACAGCTTTCTGTGTCACAGCTCTCGCGTTCGTCATTGTCCTTGGCCTTCTCGTCAAGGGCGCCCTCCCGCTCTCCTCTTTCTCCTCTCGCCGTCGTTCGACTCCTTGTCGTCGTCAATGTAATCGGTGTCCTCTCCTTCTCAACCTCCTCCACGTTCTGAGTCAATGTCCCAGACCTCTTTGCGTTTTTTTTTTTTTTTTTTTTTTTTTTTTTTTTTTTTTTTTTTTTTGTTTTTGTTTTTTCTTTCTTATATATATGTATACATATACTGGGGGTGGGGTGTGGGGGTGTGGGGCGGGGGGGGGGTGTGGGCGATGGGGTGGGTGGGGTTGGGGGTGGCAAGCGATGTGGGTGGTGGGTGGTGTGTGTATGTGTGTGTGTGTGTGTGTGTGTGTTTTGTTTTGTGTTGTTGTTGTTGTTGTTGTTGTTGTTGTTGCTGCCGTTCCAGTCTGATTCACCCTGGAGTAATTTTCTGATGGACCTGCGTCCCGAAGGCGGCTCCTGGAGGCCGAAATAAACACGGAATCCCGTTGTGACTAACATCCATGTGACGACGGACTGGGTATTCCCCCTCTGGAGCCGCCAGGCGAAGCATGCGCCGAAGAAGTTGTGGCATGCTCTCAGTGCAAAGGCCGAGGCGCGCCTTCGCCTCTTGCCGTCCTGAGCGCGGCCAAGATGATGTCGTCGTCGTCGTCGTCTTCGTCGTCGTTGTCGTCGACGTCCTGCTGCTCTTCCTTACCCCTGTCGTCGTCAGCGTCGTCGTCTTTGTCGTTCTCCTTGTCCTTCTTCCTCCTGCTGTCTCACCTTCTCATCCTCATCCCTTCCGCTATCGTCATCAACGGAACATCAGGAGGGGAACAAACACAGGCACAATTAAAAATCGGCTCCCAGGCAAGTATGGGAAACTATGGGAAGTGTGGGGGGAAAACGAGAAACCATAACATATGGGAAAGTATGGGGAATTCGGGGATTGGTTTCTTTCTATTTGTGTGTCCCTGGCCCCCTTGAAAACAATCCGTTGGAGGTTGGGCCATTCGCCAATTTCGCAGGTGACGTGGCTGTGGTTCCGACTGCGGTTCCCTGTCGTGGTTCAAAGTGAAACGCAGTGGTGCGATCCAGCCATGGTTAGTCCAGTATCGTTGTTTGCCTGTCTGTTGAATCTGTCGCACGATGTGATGAGATATTGCGAGGTGTTGTCGATCTCTTTGGCGAAAGAGGCCCAGCATTGTACTCGCCCCGATCGCAGGGCGTCCGCATCAGCAAGCGAGCAAGGGATGGCATGTCTAAGCGTTTACAGGGGGCACTAGGCTTGGCAAGCTCTCCAGGAGAGCCCGCATCCATCTGCGGTGGAATTCGGCTAATGCTGGCGTCCTCTCCAGTACACCTGAAGATCATACTCGCGATGTTCCGCATGCCGGAAGTGGATATATAGGGTGAGCGCGCTAGTATTATGGACGCGTGTCCCTCGCGGTTGACCGCTTGGACTCCTGTTTTTTACATGAGCTCCAGCTGAGACAGTGATTCGCTGGACAGCCGAGCGGCCCCACCCTGCTGGCCTCAACCTGGAGATATTGGCGTGAGGCTCTCGCTTTCGATGGTGCCCGCCACCATCAGTGAAGAGAGGGTGTCGGGTAAAGAATGATGAACCATTTTCGTCTCCAGACCGCTTGTTCGGACGGGATCTCGAGAAAGATCATGGCAGCAAGCCTCGTCTCAACTTGATGTGGTGAGAAGACGTGAAGCATGCAGCGAGTTCCCGAAAACGGGATGTCCCAATCCGCCACCAATTCGTATCAACTACTTTAGTTGAAGCCGTTTCGGCTCAAACGTCGCCAGTAGCAGCCTTTCTTTCGTAAGCATGCGTGTGTTCTTCGTTTCGTGCGGGTTGGCTGTGCTTCAAGCTTCCAGCGCATGGACTTGCGCTTCTAGGAAGCTCTCTAGCCTTCCGTATTGCAACTCATCGCTGCCGACGCTCGAGCGCGTCAGAGATTTGGTCGCTCGCATGACGCTTTCAGAGAAAGTGGATAACATGTATGTCTCGGGTGATGGGCAGAGTTCGAGGGAGCCGCCGAACACGTTTTCATATTTTCAATTAGCTGGTGTTCCACGTCTAGGCGTTCCTAGGGTACCGGTGATGGAATGCCTTCATGGTGTTGGTGTCGATCGGGCAGACTTTTGTTTCGGTGAGGGCCGCACTTGCCCGACGTCTTTTCCATTACCCATTGGCATGAGCGCATCGTTCAACGAGACACTCTGGGCTTTAGTTGGCTCTGCTGTGGGCAAAGAGGCACGGGCATTGGGCAACATGGGTAAGGCAGGCGGGGGCCTCATTTGCTGGGCACCAACAATGAACCTCGCTCGAGATCCTCGCTGGGGGCGCACCTCTGAGACACCAGGTGAGGACCCGTATTTGACTTCACGGTATGTGGAGCGTTTTGTAGGAGGCATGCAAGGAGTTCGCGAATCTAGGTATCTCATGGTCGCTGCAACATGCAAGCACGCAGTCGCGAACAATCTTGACAATTGGTGTGATGACCACCAGCCGCCGCCTCGCACGGGCACACGCCGGTCACAGAGATCGCTTGGGGGGCACTGCTTCACAAGAAATGACATCATCGAGCATATCAACGCTTTCGACTTAGCATCTTACTTTCTGCCAGCGTGGCAGGGTTGCGTCGAGTCTGGGGCTCGCAGCATCATGATGGCTGAAAACGCTGTCAATGGACTTCCGAATGGAGCCTCGCGCCCATTGATGAGATGGTTTCGCAGCCGGGGGTTCCAGGGCTACTTCACGACGGACTGTGGCGGGATCGAGGATGTGCAGCGTGAGGCAAATGACTCGTCATTGCTGCAGGCAGCCGTCGATGCAGTATACGCAGGTATTGATTTGGAGTGCCCGGGCGACGTATGACAGACGTCTCCGGCGAGTCACCGCCGCCCCCCTGCCCTTTTGGGAAGCGTCTGTGTGGTGAAAGGTCGAGTGAAGGTGCGGCCATGCTAGAGGACTGCGTACGGTCGGGGCGCTGAAGAAGGAACCATGTTCGTTTGGGAGGGGCTCCGCGTTCCTTAGCTGTTTCACAGTTTGCCTTGGGTTGTCTTTCGGTTTTCGATTGGACATCGAAGTTTAACTTATGTAGAGCAGGGGCCTCGTTCCTTATTTCGGGTTCCTTAGGTCAACGCCCCGACTGCGCATCCCCCCAGCGGTTGGAGGAGCCATCATGGGGAACCCACTGGGGGGGGGCCCTCAGGGCAGTCGTCCAGCCGTGGGCGTTCCATAATTCGGAGTTGTGGGAAACCTGGAATCACCACAACCTCTCTTTTTTCGAGGTGGCTCCAGGTTTCCCATAAGTCGCAGGCCCTCTGGGGTCATCTTGGGGTCTCTTTTGGGCCTCTTTGGGCCCATTTTTGGCATTCTTTCTGGGGGCTCTTCAGGTCGTCTGGCATGCTCTCGGGACGTCGGACGCCTTGCGGAGGCCGTCCTGGGGCCTGTCTGGCATATCTTTGGGACCCTGTGGGGCTCTTAGGGGGCAGTCTTGAGTCTCTCCTGGGCCGCATTGTGCCTTATTTGGCCGTCTTAGGGTCGCATGGGGGGCCGTACGGAGGACATCTTAGGCCGTCTTGGGGCCCTCTTAGGGGGCCTCTTGGATCATCTTGGGGCGGTATTTTGGGCCTCTTGGCCCGCTGTCGGAAGACCAAAACAGGTGAGTACACGAGCGCCTTTGTAGCACATGCGGGAATCAATGGCTTTAGCCTCCTTGGGCCCTCCTGTAGGTCCGATGGGAGGCCTCTTGGGCCGTATCGGCGGCCTCTTGAGCCTTCTGGAGCGGCCAGAGGCCTCCAGGATTTTTTTGAAGATGCCAAGCGATATTGAATAATCATGCGCGCCAAGCGCCCCTCTGGCAGGCTAATTACGGGGGGCGGCGCATCGAAGACGCCTACGGCGAGTCACCGCCTCCCACTGTCTTTCTTGGAACGCCGATGCGGACAAACGTTGGACCAAGACTTCAGTTAGTTGGACTTTGTGCTGCTCCAGCTATTGCGGAGACCCTTGGGGGGAAAATTCCGGGGAGGAAGAGAGAGGAGGATGGGAGGGAGAAGACGGAGACGAGATGGATGGGATGGGAGGGAGAGAGGAGGAGAAGAGAGAGGGGGATGGGATGGGAGGGAGAGAGGAGGATGGGAGGATGGGAGATGAGGAAGAGGAGGAGGGAGGAAGAGGAGGCCTCTTGGGGGGCTTCCTGCGGCCTCTTGGGGGCCTGTTGGGGGCCTCCAAGGGGCCTGTCGGCCTTCGGGTGCTGTCTTGGGGGCCGCCTTGGGTCCCTCTTGGAACGAGTTAGGTCTGTCTTGAAGGCCTCCGGGGCCGTCTTGGGGCCGTGTTGGGGATTCCTTGGGTCGTCCTGGGACCCTCGCCCGTCTTGGGTGCTCAGGGCCTGTCTTGGAGCTATCTCTGGGACCTCTTGCACTGTCTTCCGTTGTCGGGAGCCTGGCGTTGCGAGAACATGAGAATCATAAGCATACCAACTACAAGCCATCTGATTTGGCTTCGAGCCTGCTGGAGGGCCTCCTGGAGCCCTCTCGCCGTGCTGGGGGTCTCTATGGGGCCGTCTTGAGGCCACCATAGGGCCGTCTTGGAACCATCCCGGGCCCTCTCGGGGCCACCCTGACTGTCTTGAAGGCGTTTTCGGACCGTTGTGCATGTGCATGTGTTCCCCCTCCCCTCCCTCCCCTCCCCTCCCCTCCCTCCCTCCCCTCCCCTTCCCCCCTCCCTCGCCCTTCTTGTTGTTTCCGTTGCGGTGCACACGATGTCGCTTCTGGGTGGATGAGAGACTGCTCACGCGGCGTCTGGCCGTTCCTGCGCGGGATCATTCGTCTGCCCTCCAGGGGACCGCTCGGGCACCGGAGCTGGCATGCAGACCGCCTTGACTTGCCTTGGATCTGCACGACCGAAATGGGTACGGAAAGAATGGGTACAATGCCCAACAGCAGTTCCTGTTCATTTTGAACAGGGCTCGCTGTCCGCGCCGCCGCGGCCTGTGTCCATTTGAGACGGAAGGCCGCCTGCCCAACAGCGGCCACTGTCGATTTGGGACAACATTTGTTGGTGGGCATAGTGCCCCTTTTTTCCGTACCCATTTCGGGCGTCCAACCCCCTGGCCCTCGGTGTCCGGCAGCGCGGGCTGCCGCAGGCGACGGGGGCGTGCCTCTGGCCTCGGCCAGGACGGCTTGGGCCAAGACGGCTACGAAAGGGGAAGGTGGAGGTGGGGGTCGGAGCCGAGGCCAAGGGAGCCGAGGCCGTCCTGGGCCATCCTGGCCGCCCGGGAGCCAGCTCGAACGGGCCCGCCGAGAGGCGGGCCGCACGCGCGGCCGGCAGGATCGGCCTGGGGCCTCGGGGAGCCTTCGGCAAGGGCCTGGGGGTGCGGGAGAACCGTTGGGCACGCCACGCCACCGAGCCTGGGGTCCATCCAGAGGAGGAGGAGGAGGAGGAGGAGGAGGAGGAGGAGGAGGAGGAGGAGGAGGAGGAGGAGGAGGAGGAGGAGGGCGAGTCCAGTCGCCTTTGGGCCCACCCAGCCACCGAGCCTGGGTCGTGAGCTGGAGGCCTCTCAGAGGCCGCCCGGGGTCGCTTGTAAGGCCTCTTGGGCGCGGCGTGGAAGCCTCCTGGGTGCCTCTGAGGAGCGTCTTGGAGGTCTCTTGCGGCCCTGGTGGCCTTCTCGGGGCCTGTTGGGGGCCCGTTGGGGGCCTCTTGGCGATCTCGGGGGCCACCGTGGGGGATAGCGCTTGAAATGCCGGTAAGAATTCTCCCTGTTGGGCCGCTCTTGAGGTCGTCTCGGAGGCCTCTTGGGCCCTCTTCGGGCGATCTTAGGAGCCGGTTGGGCTTCTTGGGCGCTCTTAAGACCGAATCTCCGAGTATGCCCAATGATGCCCAAATCAAACATATTTTAGCTTTGAGATAATTGTGGTTGCCTGGTCCGCTCCCAGGGCTGCTGCCAAACTGCCCAAGACGCGCCCAAGAATCAAAGAAGGGCCTCGAGTCCATCTCTGGCCATGTTGGAAGTATGGAATCCGAGCGACGATCCGAAGGCCTCTGAAACAAGTAAGGCGAGTCGCCCAGAGAGTGCCCAGCAGCGCCTGAGAGCGTCCGGGAGCGCCAGAAACTCCAGGATCTGGGCCTCCCTTGAGAGTTTGCACAGCTCTCAATTTACAGAGAGTTCGAATTGACCTGAGGACACTTAATCCAGTGTCCTCGGCACGGTGGCGGATCCTACGTGAACAGGTACATACCGCACGCAGTCAGATCAGGGATGCTGAGTTCGAGCGTTGTGGACGAAGCAGTCGAACGAACTCTCGCGACGGTCATCGATCTCGGGCTGATTGATCCCCCTGAGCGCGTGTCGTGGAGCAGCCTCGGCTCGGAGTCAGTTGATTCACGAGAACACCGCGATTTAGCATTGGAGGCTGCCCAGCAGTCGCTCGTGCTTCTCCACAATGATGCCGCGGTGTTGCCTTTATCGAGGGGCTCGCGGGTTGCACTTCTGGGGCCGTATGCGAACGCAACGGAACAATTGTTGGGACAATCTAGTTATCGAGGTGTTAACCGTGTTGTTGTGAATAAAAGTATTCTTGATGGCCTCAAACTGCAACAACTGAGTCTTACCTACGTAGAGGGATGCAAGACTAACCAGTCCATAGCTTTTGGGATTGAGGCAGCTGTCGCTGCCGCCGAAGATGCGGACGTGGCAGTGCTAGTTCTTGGCATCGACGAACACTTTGAAAATGAAGGGTTGGATCGCTTCAGCCTGGACCTGCCTCGACCCCAGCTAGAGCTTCTGGATGCCGTGGCTAATGTGGACACGCCTATCGTATTGATTCTGATACATGGTGGGGGTCTCAGCTTGGAGAGTTACCTCAACAAGACCTCTGCAATCGTAGATGCTTTCTATCCAGGTGAATTTGGGGGCATCGCCATTGCGCAGATGTTGAGCGGAGACTTCAGTCCCAGCGGCGTTCTTCCGATGACTTATTATCTGGCTAACTACACTCGAAGGAACATGACGGACTTCAATCTTCGTTCTCTTGACGGGACGACGTATCAACAGTACAAGCCATTTCCGGTGTTTCCTTTCGGCCACGGGTTGTCCTACACTGAGTTCGAGGTTAGCACGGCTGTCAGTGTCCAGGCTACCACAACTACGCCCAACGTAGTTTTAACCGTGAAAGTAGCAAACATTGGGAAAGTACCATCAGCAGTTCCATTGCTTGCGTTTGTGCGTCACGACTCGGCGGAGTTTCCTCTTCGACGCTTGGGCGGTTTTGTGAAGATTGAGCTGATGCCAGGAGCAACCGAAGACGTCTCGCTTTTAATTCCTCGCCAGGCATTCGCATCAACGGACGAGTCGGGCTCGCAGAAGGTGCGCGCGGGCACCTACCTGGTGGATGTGCGTGGATCGACGACAGCAGTAGAACTCGTTGGACCAGTTTCACATATGTCGGGTCCATTGGAAGTGCCCGCGAGCAATCTGCCAGATGCTGCAGTTCGAGCTTTTATCTAAAACATGTTGCCCTGAGTCCAACGTATTCTTCCGACCAGCCAGGCGCACAAGATCCAATGAATTCATTAATTCTCACACCGTTCGAACAACTCAGATTACACGAATCATGGCGTGGACATGCAGTTCTTTTAAACTTGGTCATGTTGGTTCACCGCTCGGAGTAATGACGCACCGGGGACAGTATGTGAGATAGCGTTGCCACTTTCGATCGGGACCGTACCGTGTTTTTGTAAATGTGCGTTTTGTCGTTTGTAACGCGCGGGATGCTGCAAGGGCTGGATGGGCGTTGACACTAAGGTCGAGCACTCTAAAGTACATATTTTGGTGGGTTGTTGCAACTGCTGTTATCTTTCAAGCCTCCCCGAACGAGCCAGTTCACGTGCCTGACGGCAGCACGCGGCAGCCGTGGTCCATCGTCGCATCATGGTGGCGGCAAGATAAAACGTTCACCCATTCCTTTGCCAAGGCCGTGCTGGGACAAACCGTCGTTGGAGGCCTGAGGGGAAGAGCTCTTGCCCGTCAGGACCCACCTGTCCACGTTGTGCTCTAGGCTGGCCCTGTCTTTCTGGTGCTCTGGCTGCGCCGTTTGCGGGCCCAGTTCCTGTGGCGTGGCATCATATTTCTTATCTGATGATTTGTGATGATGCCTCGGTTCGGGAATGCCGCGCCTCGCCACTGGGAAAAGACAGCCAAGTGGTGTGGAGCGATGCTGCAGAGGAGCATAGAGAGGTAGAAGAGCTGACAAATGATGACAGGTCGTGCCCCCCTTTGCGCGAAAGCTGCTGACGTATCCAGTTACTCCTTCGTGCGTATTCACCACTGGGCTGTGCGTATGTGTGTGTGTGTGTGTATGTTTCCCTCGTCGCTGTCCTCGCCGTAGCTTGTTGCTGTGTGCGGTCCTTCTCGTAGTCGTCGGCCCGGTCTCGTCTCTCGTCCTCTCTCTCTCCCTGCCATCCACGACCGGATGGCATATGGTGCGGTCCTGTTGTGAGGCCGACGCGCGCGGGGTTCCGTTCGCTGCGCTTGACTTGCCTCGCCTCGTCGCTGTGCGCGGGGCCGCGATCGCCAAAACATGTGTGTGTGTGTGTGTGCGTGTGTGCGTGTACGTGTGTGCGTGGGGCTTCTCAGGAGCTTCGGGGGTATCGGGGACTTTCTCCTTCTTCTCCTCCTCCTCCTCCTTTTCCTCTTCCCCCTCCTCCTCCTCCTCCTCCTGATCCTCCTCCTCCTCTTCGGGGTTATCTGGTGGCGTTCGCAGAAGTGGACGCGTGTGCCCTTCACCGCGGCCCACCAGATAGGACCTTCCTGGCCACTCCGACGCCGTGGTTCGGAAGTGGCTCGGGCGAGTGAGTCGGAAGAGCCTTCTGCTCTTCGAGGAGCATCAAGTCATGCACGGGGTGGGCGGGGTGGGACGAGGTCGGGAGGGGGAGGGGGGGGGAGGGGGGGGGGCTTTGGGGATGTCGGGATGCGTTTGCCCTTCCTCCCGCGCCCTCCTCGTTGGCGAGTTGGCTCCGCGACAAGCTGGGGAGGCCCTCCGCTCGGAATCCGCGGCCCGCCTGCCAGCCCAGGGTCCTTTTCGATCCGATCGATCCGATTCGATATCGATCCTGGCCTGCTCGATCCGCTGCGATTCCGATATTCCGAAGATCCGAGGCGGCACGATGCTTGCAAACTGCTTGTGTATATCCTGGCGCTGCCGATCCGACTCGATCTCGACTCCGTGCTGATGCACCTCGACCCGACGCGCACGTCGATGTGATCCGATTTCTCGGTCCGATGCTGACTGATCGCGCCCAGGAGAGCGAGGGCATCCGGCGACCCAGAGCCGCGAGGGAGCCCGCGGACGGCGAGAGGGCGAAGGAGTCCCCCCCCCCGCTCCTGGTCGCCGCCCGCGGCGCTTGCACCGGGGTCGCCGCTCGAGGCCCTCTCTCATCACCACGTTTTGGACGCATCGGGCGCTGCCTCTGCCGTTCGTCGTTCTCTCATGCTGCAGCTGGTGCGAGGGTCGAGAGCAGGCCCAGCTTGGGAGGGGCACCCTTGTGTTCCTCGTGTCTGGGCTCGTCACCCTGCAGGGTTCTTCGCTCTGGGTAATTATCACCATGGGGCCCTGGGTCTTCGGCCGAGGGGTTCGTTGCTTGCCCCACGCTCTTGTGGCCATGGCTTCACTGTGCCCATCTGTGCCATCTCGAGGCGCAGTCTCGATCGCCTCCATGGGCCACAGTGCCCCGCCGCGCGGCGACCCTGGTGCAGCCGCCCGCTTCCTCGGCGCTCGGTGACGGGGTGTGGTCTTGCCGAGCACCTCCTGCGCGGGGCCTCCTTGCGAGGATGGCGCCCCGAGCCCGACAGACACCGCTGTGGCGGGGAGGTGTAGCTTTCCCTGGCGTCGGGGAGCTGGCGGCCGGGTGACCCCCCTTCTTATCTTGCTGGTTTCCCATTATGGAAGACGTCTGCAGCGAGTCACCGCGGCCATCCACCTTTTAGGGTACGCCTATGTGGCCAGACGTTCAGGCAAACCTTTGGTACGCTATTGGACCATGCGTTCCCCCAGCCGTTGTGGAAGCCCTTCGGGGAACACGTGGGGGGGGGGGGAGCAGCAGGAGGAGGAGGATGAGGAGGAGGGGGGAGGATGAGGAGGGGGAGGAGGAGGAGCAGGAGGAGGACGAGGAGGAGGAGGAGGAGGAGGAGGAGGAGGAGGAGGAGGAGGAGGAGGATTACCGCTGCGCTCCTCTGCCCGCCCTCCCGTGCGATGAACATCGGGACGACGCGGAACCCGTAGCACACGCACCACACGAACGTGACGAGGTACAGGGCCCCGCAGATGACGCCGAAGAAGAGCACGGGAAGCGGGTACTCCTGGATGTGCCGCCGCGTACACAGCCAGGCAGCCCTCGAAGAAGGCACTCTACAATGCGTGTATTTCATTGCTGCTGACAAACGGCATTCTGGTCGGGCGGAGCGATTGAACACGTATCCAGCTGCTCTTGTGAGAAAGTAAACGGGCTGCCAGAACCGGTAGGCGCGTGTAGCCCAGGCCGCGAACCTACCATCCGTTTCGAGGAACCCGTATAACCTGCGAGACCGTTCCCCACTCCAGGCTGCTCTTCCTCACGAACTGGACCCCCGCTCTCCGCAGGCTGTCCCGCACCAGCCGCCGAACAAGCCGAAGAGGCTGCGAACTTGAAGCCGAGGCTGGGGCCTACAGACGGGGGCACCTTGCAAGTGGGAAGCTCTGGCCGAAGCAGCTCCACGGCCGAGCCGAAGTCACCTCGGCGCATACACCAAGCTCGTCAAACTCTTCGAAAGCACCATACGCTTCGGACTCCACCTCGTTCGTGTCCTCGGAGGCACCAGCCAGCGGGTCCCAGAAACCTGGGGCGGCCGAGGGGCGGAGAGCGCCCCATGACTCCAGGCCTCCGACGGCCTGATCCCCGAAAGCCGCGGACAAGGCACCCACAAACATGTCCGAACCAGCGTCGTAAAGCACATGGTGAGGCGAGACACCGGCCTCACAAAGCCCAGTCCAGCCCATCGACGAAGCCGTGGTGCTGCTCTCGATGCTGTTGACCACGGACTCCGCGGCGTACCCAGCCAGTCCGCACTCGCCGAAAGGCACGAAGACGGCAGCGTTCGCAGAGAAGCTGAAGTTCGCACGTTGGCTAGCGACCTCGCCTCGGACCTGCCGCGCCTCGAGACGCGGCCCATCTTGAGCATGACGGAGGGCAGCGGCGTCCGCCGACGCCACATTAACACCCGCGGCATCGGCGTGGAGGGCAACGTTCCGCCTGAGCTTGTCCAGCCAGGAGGGCGCCTCCCCACGCAGCAATGCCAGAAAGGCCGGCAGCAGCGCCCGCAGGCGCTGCGAGGCCTCGACGTCACCGACGATCATGTCCAAGGCCTGCTCCGCCGCCTCCAGCTGGCCACGAACGTGCCTGAGTTGGTCCATGGCCTTGGCGACGGCGCGGTCTGCTGACCACCTTGCCCATGCCCGAGATGCCTTGCGGTCCTCCGAGGAGCGCGCTGGGCGAAGAAACGCTCCGCCCTCCCGCGCCATCCACGTCAAGCAGCGCGAACGAGACCAGCAGCACAGGACCGGAGGGACATGCCTAGCCGGCTTGAACCCCTCCCGCGCCATCCACGTCAAGCAGCGCGAACGAGACCAGCAGCACAGGACCGGAGGGACATGCCTAGCCGGCTTGAACCACTGGGCTTCGCGCGCAGAGCGGCTTGAGCCAAACTGGCTACGGAGGACGAGGAGGAGGAGGATCGGATCGGATCGGATAGCTGCGAAAGAGCTGCAGTCAGCTACTGCCGGGGGCGTGTCGAAGCCAAGGGCGCTTCAACAGGCCGCAGGCCGGCTCGATGCAGGCTGAGGGATCGACGGGCCCATCCTGCGGAGCCCTCCGAGGACAAACAGCTCGACTGCTGAAGACCGAGCACGAAGTAGGGCACCGGACGCCCAGACAGAACAACTCCTCCCACCAGCCAGAGGAGGAGGAGGAGGAGGAGGAGGAGGAGGAGGAGGAGGAGGAGGAGGAGGAGGAGGGGGAGGAGGGGGAGGAGGAGGAGGAGGAGGAGGAGGAGGGGGAGGGGGGCAGTGTACCACTCCTCACTCCTCCTCTGCCCCTCCCCCAAAGGCGGCGGGCGCGCGGGGCGCGCCTGGCCGAGGTCGGCGTTCCCGACGGGTCGGGCAGGAGGGTTCAGGATTGCCAGGGCGTAGCAGGTACGTTGATCCTCGGTGTTTTAGGCCCCGGGATGGTGTTCTGGCACGGCTCAGGATCGTCAAGGCGTAACAGTCAGGTTAACTCGTGGCGTTGAAGTTCTGAGAGTGATGTTTGTGCACGCTTCCAGACGTTCACACGGCTGTCCTCCAACGAGGCATTTGTGGACTTGAGCCCTTATTTGGCCCTGTGAAAAGAGATCTTGGAGGGAGGGGGTATGTCAACATCGTTGATGAGTCGTGTGTTTACACGCTGGTCCTTCTCCTCCTCCTCCTCCTCCTCCTCCTCCTCCTCCTCTCCTCCTCCTCCCGTCGTCGTTTTTTTGTTTGAGTCGCCGCAGGGTCTGGTCCCAGACTTGGCAGTGCACATCAGGGGGTGGCGCGAGGGTGGCGGCCTTCAGGTGGGGGAGTTTTTGGAAGGCGGTCGCCTACTGGAAGCGCTCGGGTGGTTCTCAGAAGGCCGCTTTAGATGCTGGGAGTGCTTCTAAGAATCCACTTGTCTTTTTCCCCACATCCTGAGTGGGGTTCTTGTTTTCCCAGAACATCGGTGTGAGTACTCAATCGGGCGATTCTGCACAGACTGCGGGTTAGGGGAATGCCAGCGGCAGAGTCTAACGTCCAGATGCTCTGCCTCATTCGGTGACGTCGCACTTTGACTCCCGAGGGTATCTCTTCACCGGGGGCCCTGCCCCACTCCACGGGCCCCTCCTGACAGGACCTCGCTGCACCTCATTTCGATCCTCGATCCGCCCCTTCCATCCTGGATTGGACCGCCACCCTGACACGAACTCACTGCCCTTCGATCCTCGATCCTCGATCTGCCTCCTCCCTCCTCGGTTGATACGCCGCCGTCGTGACCGTGTGCTTGAAGTCGACGCAGAGGCCCCAGGCCCAGACGTGGGCCCCCCAACAAACACGTCGCCGTCGCTGGAGAGTGCCGTCGGCACCGACGCCGCCGCCTGCGGCGGTGCCGCCAGCTGCGGCGGTGGCGTCTACGACCGCCGCCGTGGCAGCCGCGGCGGGTCAGGGTGGCAGGCGCGATCTGGCCAGGAGGGCTGCCAGGGCGTTCCCCCCCCAGCAGTGAAGACGCTGAAATAAGGACCGCTTTGGGTTCGGAAGGAGGGGCTCTGTTCCTTTGGTCATTCCGTGGCTTCTCCTCCCTCCCTCCTCGTGCACCCAGGCGCTTCTGCGAATCTGCATCACTGATTTACCCCAAAATCGGTTTCCCGTCACATCTACAGCATGTGCTTAGAATGTTCAGTCGACCTACTCTGAACATTCCACGTCTGTTTCGTATATGTACTGAACACTATTCGTCTTCCCCACTCGAGCTTTTGGTGCCGACAAGAGACTTCGTTCCTCGTTTAGCGTTCCTCATGTCAGCAGCCCTTCCGGGATGCCCAGGGGGGAGGGATGAGGGGGGAGGGGGGAGGCCCAGGGAGGAGGGAGGAGGAGGGAGGGGGAGGGGGGCAGAGGAGGGAGGAGGGAGGAGGGACGGGGGGGAAAAGAGAGCCCTTCTGGAAAGAGGTCGGCGCGCCCCCCCCCCCCCCCCCCCCGGGGCGCGCGGTCCTCCGCCGCGGGGCCGCCCGCCCGCGCAGCCCGCCGGCCACCCTCCCCACAGGAGGGCGACGGGGGGCCGCCCGCCGCGCTCTGTGCGCCGTGCGGCGAGGACTGCGCCCCCTGCTGTGGACGAGGTGGACGGAGGAGGACGGAGGGGGAGGGGGAGGAGGAAGGAGGAGGAGGAGGAGGAGGAGGAAGGAGGAGGAGGAGGAGCAGGAGGAGGAGGATGAGGACGAGGAGGAGGAGGAGGAGGAGGAGGAGGAGGTGGAGGAGGAGGTGGAGGAGGAGAGGAGGAGGAGGAGGGAGGCTGAGGAAAAGGAGGAGGAGGTGGAGGAGGAGGAGGAGGAGGAGGAGGAGGAGGAGGAGGAGGCTGAGGAAGAGGAGGAGGAGGTGGAGGAGGAAGAGGAGGAGGAGGAGGAGGTGGAGGCCAACGGGCCTCCCGCGCGTGGCGCTCCAAAGAGCAACGGCATCCAGCTCACTGAAGCCATGGTCGCCATCTATGCTCGCATGCCAGAAAATGACTTCAAGGCGACCGCTGAGTTGCACAGCTTCTCTTCCAAGCAGATCGCCAGAGTCGTCAGCAGGCGGGCGCTTGATGCAGGAGCGCCAGAGCCTGTCGCCCGTGCGGCTCGACAGGACACCGACGCTCTGCAGCAGCGTGTGCAGCAAGCTCAGCAGAAGTTTGACAAGTCACAGGAGGCGGCTGCGAAGGCAATGGCATACATGGCGGAGTGCAAGCGCAATCTCACTACTCTCAAGCTGGAGGCGGAGGCTGCCGCCGCCAAGGCCGCAGCGGCCTACAGCGCGATGGCTAATCAGAACCACCAGATCTCGGCGGCAGCTGCGATCGCGCAGATGCAGTCTCTGCTGGGGGCCTTGCAGCAGGCGGCCCCTGAGGAGGCGGCGCAGCTCCAGGGCATCGTGCAGGCAGCCGCCCAGAAGGTCGGCCCAGAGGCGCAGCCTGGGCAGCCTGCTGCTGGTCCTCCTGGTGCTCCTCCTGATGCTGGGGGGGGCGCTCCTCCCGCTGCTGGGGGTGGCGCTGCAGGCGACGCCGCTCCCCCAGATGCGGATATGCCCCCAACTCCCGACTGGTCCATGTTCCTCAGCCCTGAGAGCGGCTTCTACAAGGAGTTCTTGGAGGCCTCAGGAGCGGTCGACCCCGATGCAGGAGCACCCGGCGCCGAGGAACCTGGTGAGGGAGCGGAAGCAGCGCCCCCGAAGCAAGGCATCTCTCGGAAGTTTTTTGAGGACCTCGTCAAATGTATACAAGAGCATCAGGCCAAGAAGGCACGTGTCGGTCGGTCAAGCGTCTAGCTCGGTGCTCTTCACTACTATCAATGTCACAGGGCGCACCGGTCTAGAGTGCGCACTCGAGAGTCAGGAAGTGCGCTCCAGCACCGCCCTGGCTATTCAGGAACATCATTTTTCTCTGGTGTCACCGTGGGAAAGCAGATTTCGGCAGCTTGGATGGGCCGCCTAAGGTCTCGCAGCGCGCAGCACGCCTGCAGGAGGCACATCTGGTGGTCTATTTCAAATGGTGCAGCGCAGAGTCGGTATGTCCGAACTGCCACAGCAGAGCTTCTGTATCGCTGAGGTTCGAGTCTCTATCGTTCACGTGTCTCTGCTTTGTCTAGGTGGAGTATTGTGGGTGAATGTTTACCTCCATGATTCTGAAGGGCTTTCTCCCCAGAGCTGGAAGTTGTTGACGATGATAGGAGGCGTTCTGCACAGACACGGCATGCCTTTCATCATTTCGGGCGACTGGAATCTTACTCCAGAGGAAGTTCAAGGCTCAGGCTGGGCTGACACCCTTGGCGCTGTTTTGTTGTCCCAAACTACTGCCACATATACGCGAGGTGCTGTGCGCACCTTGGATTGGTTTGCTGTGTCGCATGGTTTGCACTATGGAGCGAGAGTGCGAGATCTCGCAGCTGTTGGGACCAAAGATCACAAGCGTGTGCAAGTTTCTCTACGTGGCTCCACAGTGTCCGTTCGGCTACCCCATGTGCGCGTACCTCGTCAATTCCCTCGGCAGCGGCCCGCAGGGTGCTACATGGAGACGAATCGCTGGCAGCCTGTTCGTGTGCTGCTGGAAGGTTCCACGAACGTCACCGAGGTCTGGAATGGCTTCGTGACCACGCTAGAGCAGAAGTTCCTCGAGATCTACCAGATTCCGGACGAGGACCGCAGGAGCTACATCGGCAGGGCTGCTGCGCTACGCGTTCGCAGGCGCAAGGCGCCGCCTGCTCGCCAGTTGCTCTTTCCTCGCACCTCTGCCGTCGCCAACTGGTTCCGAGCTCTGTCGCAAGTGTTTCACGAGTTGCCCATGCTGCAGAAACCCCTCGATCGGGTTTCGTCTCTCCGTGCATGTCGGCAGCTGCTGCGCTCCTCGGCCTCGCTGCCGTCGGCCCTCGTGGGGCCCTGGTGTGTCCTTCTTAGCGTAGCTGCCGGCTTGGACTAGGGGCTGGCCAAGTTGTTAACTAGTCTTGCCAGGGCTGCCGCCGAGCAGCATCATAAGTGCGCTGAGAAACGCAGAGACTTCGAGCGAGTGGCGCCAATGGGTTCGCACGAACAGTAGCTCTGGAGGAGGTGCGCTCTATGCGATTTCGAAGCCCACCATCCCGTGGCATTCCAGCCCCTCCTTCACTGCGAGCGGTGCGGTACGAGCCGCCCCAGCGACGCAGGAGCAGGAGATGCAGCTTCTCGCGGAGGAGTGGAGTCGGCATTGGCGAGTGGAGGAGTTGGAGGATTGCATCGCTTGGCCCGATGACATGGGGCCAGCGCTCCCTGAGTTTAGCCTTGCTGAGCTTCGCGCGGCCCTGCGCTCTTTCAAGCCCGCCAGCGGCGCAGGTTTCGACCAGATCAGCCCGCGGCAGCTGGGCGAGCTGGGCGATGAAGCACTCGAGTGCTTCAGGCAGCTCATCTTGCTGATCGAAGCCACCTTCGAGTGGCCGCGGACATGGGCGAATATCGTTTTTCACATGAAGCGCGCTGGGGGATTGCGCCCCATCGCGCTGCTCCGCGTGTGTGCCCGCGTCCAAGGATGCATTCGCCGCCCACTGCTCCAGAGGTGGCAGCAGAAGAACTTCCGTGAGTTCTGGTGGTCGACGTCGGGGAGGGGGTCGGGCCGTCTCGCGGGGATCCAAGCTGCCACCTCGGGGTGGGCTGTGTCCCGAGGGCTAGCTGCGGGGGTTATCCTGTTAGACCTGCAGAAGACCTTCGAGAATATTCAGCACGGCGTGCTGCTGGAGGCAGCGCGTCGAACCAGCTTTCCCCTGCGTCAATTGAGGCTCTTGATAGCCCTTTATAGGGCGCCGCGCGTGCTCGAGTACGCTGGCGTGTGCTCCAGCCCGATCAGCGCCCAGCAGGCGGTGCTTGCCGGTTGCCAGTTCGCCACGCTTTGCTTGCAGCTAGTGGTTCTTGCGCCGCTGGATAGAGTCCAAGCAGCTTTCCCTAGGCAGACCGAGCGCGAGTTGCAGCTCGGCGTCGTCGTAGACGACTTTGGCCTGCATAAAGTTGGCTCGGAGCAGCGTGCGCAGCAGTGTCTTGCAGATGCAGCCCAGCCCCATACACACGGAAGTGGCCAAGGTGTATCTTCCTGTGAGCAAGCCCGAGAGCAGAGTTCTCGCCTCTTCCCTCGGTCTGCGTCGGGGCCTCGCCGCCGCCCTTCGCTCTCGTCGTGTTCTGCCCGTCCAGTCTGAGAGAAATCTTGGGATTGACTATGCTGCTGGAGGTGTAATTCGCAGGGCCACCAAGCGCCACAGGCGCCAGGCGGCCACAGCTAGGCAAAAGAAGATTGTGTCCTTCAGCAGTCAGCTGCGTCAGCGCCAGGCTCACCACATGATTCGAGTAGCCGCGCAGGCCTCCACCTCCTATGGGTCGGGGGTGATGGGCACCTCGGAATCTGAACTGCGTGGGGCGCGAATTTTGCAGGCTAGCGTGCAGTCCCAAAAGTTGTCTGGACGCAGCGTCACGCATCTCCTGCATCTCACTGGCGTCAGGAGAATCGACCCCGCTTACTCTTTGTGTGCTGGCCCACTCCTGCACCTTGCCATGGCGGTCTCGGGGTCTTGGGTCCCACGAGGGGTCATCGTTGCTGGTCTCGAGGGGGCCAAGCAAGCTTTGCAGTCGCACGGCTCTCCTTGGCAGGCTATTCGGGGGCCCCTCGCCAGCTGCATCGCCTCCGCGCGCAGGCTAGACATTCGCATCGAAGGTCTCAGATGGTCTCATCCTGCTGTTGGTTCTTTCTCGCCCGCCGAGCTTTGTCCCAGGGCCGTCGCGCGGCTGCTGCGCCAGATCATCGAGACTGGGTGCTGGAAGCGAGTCGCAGCGCACCTCGAGTGCTCCGATTTTGAGCGGGGCCCGATGCTGGCTCCTGTCATCGCTGGCATGCAGCAGCCTGCGGCCCATGAGAGGGGGTATGTCGTGTCGGTCGTCTCTGGAGGTCAGTGGCCGCAAGCTAAGCAAGCCTCTCACGGTCTTTCCAGTCTTAGTCAGTGCCAAGTATGCCATGCTTTTGTGGGCACTTTGGCCCACAGGCACTTGGCCTGCCCAGGGCGCGAGGAAGTTTTTCGAGCCGAGGCGCCAGCCGTCGCTGCCGACGTGCTTCGGTCTCTCCACAACACCCTCGTCCTCCTCTTCGCTGAGCGGCTGCTGGTGCCGATGCCTGCTCTGCCTCCTCCTCTCGTCTTCGTCCCTGAAGAGCTTTGGCTCAAGGGCGATCCGAGCCTGCTTGAGGGTGACCTTTTCCTCGACGGCAGCCTCTTGGACGGAGAGCTGCCTCCCCAGCCGCAGAGCCTCGGATGGGCCGCTGTGGCCATGCATGAAACGCGTGATGTCCCCACCTGCATCCTTGCTGGTGGGCTTGCGCCTGGTCTCTATGGCATCGATTTTGGTGGAACTTTGGGCCTTCTACCGTGCCCTGCGTGCAGCCATGCCCTCAGTAACTTTTTGGACTGATTCAGCCTTCGTATTCGACGGCGTCGGCTCTATTGTGTCTCGGCCAAGGCGGCCTGGGCAGATCCCTGACAGCGCGTGTGGGAAGCCATCGACGATTGTGGCGGTCTCGGGCTCCTCGCGATCCGTAAGACCAAAGCCCGCGCGACGGTTGCTG